AGCCCGCTTTCAGCTCCCGCACCCTGGCGGCCGGGCAGGAGCAGAGCCCTCTGGGGGCGAGCACTGCGCTGGATGGGGCAAACCCCCCCCAAGGGCCTGTGCTCGGCCCGGAGGGCAGGGACAGGACACTGCAGCCCCAGAGGGCCGAGTGCTAGTGAGCCCTGGACCCCAGCTCGGGAGGGACCAACACGGAGGCTCCTTGGGGGCTCACCTGACTGCCCTGTGCCGGCCAGGCCCTCGGAGAGGCCCAGTACATGACCCCGCCTGGGGCGTGGGTGGCGATGCCCGCAGGGGGCTGGGGGACGGGACTTCCTGCCACATGGGGTCTCATGGCCACCCGGGGCCGGCTGGCAGGTGACCCCCCCGACCTCAGTGCCCCCAGGAATCCAGAGAGGGGCTCACTGGGTGAAGCCAGAGCTGCCCAGGGGCCTGCCCCCACCGCGGGCTTGCTGGGGGTCGTTGGCCAGCCACACCGGCACCGGGAGCCGCGTCTGCTTGCTGGGGCTGCGGAGCCAGGCCAGGCCGAGGCTATGACTCTGCAGGTGGGTGGCGGACGGGCAGGAGGGCGTCCTCCTGGGACCCGCGCCAGGTGGGCTCCGTCCAGCGGAGGAGCAGAGCGTCCTGCGGAGGTGAGCCCAGCCGGGGGCCCAGCCGGGGGCACCCAGGCCCCAGCACAGGCTCCTGGCAGATGAGGGGGCAGCTGCCCAAGGCTGGTGAGAGGCAGCCCCAGGGTCAGCAGGCCGGGCTGGTCCTGGCACCTACAGACTCTTCGAGGGAGGACTCTGTGCGATGGCAGAACCGGCCTCTCGCTGTGGCTGTGGGAGAGCGCAGGACGGGGCCGCTGCACATGTTCACACGGCTGGCCCTTCCCCCGGGGCTGCGAGGGGCTGGGCCAGGCCCCTGGGGAGTCCAGGCCTGGCAGGCGTCGAAGGTCCAGAAGGGTGGCTGCCCCTGGGGCAGAGCCAGCCGCCAGGAGCCCTGTCCAGCCGGGCGTGGACACCTGGCCCAGAGATGGCTGCTGTCCCGGGCGGGGCTGGGACAGGACGGGGTGGCCTGCCTGGAGTGTGCCCCCAGGATGGGCCCGCACTGCCCGGGATGGTTGGGTGGACCCAGCTGGCCAGGTGAGGTGCCCGGGCTGGGCGGCCGGTCAGGCTCAGCTCCCTCCCGGGCCTGTGGCTGGGGTCTGGCTTGGCTGCAGCGGAGGAGCCAGAAGGGAACATCCCGCCCCAGCAGAGGGCCAGAGGCTCAGGGATGAGGGGGGCCGCTCCCTGCTGCCCTGAGGCACGGGGCCTGGGGCCAGGAGGGCCCTCTGCAGCCGCAGCCGTCCAGCCCGCTGCTCCCTGGAGGGGGCTCCCCCGCCCTGCTGTGCTGGAGCGGCGGGTCCACAAGGAGACGGGGCCAAGGACCCGGCGGGAGACCCTCCCTAGGGCCTCCCCCACCTCCACCTGGGCCGGCTTCACTAAAACAGCCAAGGGGCCCCTCTGGGCCTGGGGAGCCCCGGGCCTCCTGCCCCCCGTGTCCCCTTCACGGACCCAGCCGCACCCGCCCTGCCGGGCAGCCGGCACAGAGTTCTCTGGAATGCTGGCGGGGAAGGGCCCGCTCTGGCCGCCTCTGGGGGCCTGGGCAGCATCCAGGCCTGGAAGGAGCCGCTGGCTTCGCCACAGCCAGAGAACACAAGGGCTGGCCCGGCGGGCAGCCCAGCCGGGGCAGGCGGCACATCCGTGGGGGCCGCTGGCCCCTGCTGAGACGCGTCCTGCCGGCGAGGGCCCACGGCGCCTGGAGCACGGGCCTGCTGGCTTCACGCCTCCGCTCCGCGTGGGTCCTCGCGGGGCCAACGCTGTGGCCGGCCATTGGCGAGGCGTGGCGTGGGGGCGGGTCGGAGGGCCAGAGGGCCGGTCCCTCTCCTTGCTCCTCTCCAGGTTGCCGCTCCTCGTCATTCTCCCTAAGGGCCCCCCACAACACGCGCTTCCCAGGCTTGGGCGCCTGGGTGTGGCCTCGGCCCCGGCCCCGGGGCGCTGCCGTCTGTCTCGCTTTCACCGGCTGCTGCCCACCCAGTGCGGAACAGCTGCAGGTGACCCCATTTCGTGGCTGGCCTGGAGGAGGCTCCAGAAAGCCAGCCTGAGCCCAGGGCAGCCCCCCTAGGGTGGGCGCGCTGGCTGCGGGCTTGTCCCGGGGCCGCAGCTCCTGCATACCCCTGCGCCTGGCACTCCTTTCTCTGCCCCTGGACGCACCGGGGAGGCCAGGACACCGCCCTGGAGCCTGCTCTGCCCTCCTTGCCCAGCCCAAGTGCCCAGGCCCAGGCGGCCTGGTGGCCAGGCAGGCCCTGCCCAGGCCTGTCGTGTCCCTCCCTCCCTCCTGCTGCCCGCTCAGCCGCCACCCTGCAGGAGCAGCTTGGCATTCACAGCCTGGGGGTGCGGGAGAGGGTGGGAGGCCGGGGGGGGGGACAGTAAGAGGACGGGAAGGGGCAGTAACGCTGCTGCCAGGGCTGCCACTGGGCCAGAGTCCACGGGGGAGCACTGCCCACTTCCCAGGCCCAGGACAGGCCCCGCCTGCCCCTGCCAGGCCAGCCCTCAGGACCCTACCTGGGTCAAGACTCAGGTGGAGCTGGGCACACAGGGTCCTGACCTTGTGGGGCGGGCACCCAGGATCCTCTCGGCCCGGACAGCCAGGCCAGGGGGGCGCCTGGCCCCGCAGGGGGCACTGCATCCCTGCTGAGGCATTGGCCATGTCAGGGTCCGCCCTGCGCTGCCCGCCGCCCACCTAGCCTCCCGTGAGGGCTGCGTCCAGCTGCTCCCTGGACAGCTCCGGGCTCTGGCTACCGTGGGGCGCTGGGGGGTGGAGGGAGGGCGCCAGGGCGCCGGCCCAGGGGTCCCTCATGCGGCCCCGGGGGGCCTGGCGTGGCCTGACCACGGCTGGCCCCTGCCCTTTGAGGCGGCGGCCCCGGGGGAAGCTCCAGAACCTTCTCGGGCCGGGGCCCCTGACCCCTGGGGGCTCCTGCGGGGACGCCTGGGGAGCCCCGGGGCCGCGGCCAGGCCCGGCGGGGCGGGGGTCGGCGGCGGCGGGGCCTGCGCGCGGGCAGCGCGCCCTCTGCTGGCCGCGCCGGGCGCTGCGGCGGCGCCGGGGCCCCAACCCGTGCAGCCGCGCCCGGCGCCCGCGGGGCTCTGGGGGGCGCGGGCGGGGCCGGAGCCTCCGGCGAGGCGCCCGGGGCGGGCTGTCCTGCTTGGGGCGCGCGGCGGGGCCTTCGAGCGGCGCGGGCCGGCGCCCCGGGGCCACCGGCTCTGGCCCCCGCGAGGCGGAGCCGGGAGCGCGAGCCCGGCCGGAGCTGCCCAAGGCCCAGGCCGCGCCCGCCGGCCCGGGGGGGGGGGGGCTCGGAGGGGGGCTCGGAGGGGGGCTCGGAGGGGGGCTCGGGCGCGCGCTCCCGCCGCCCGCGGGTCCCCCCTCCCTCCCGGGGCGGGTCAAGTCGGGGCGGAGCCGCGCCGCCGCGTGCGGAGGGGGTGCGGGCGGGGGGGGGGGGGGGGGGGATGCGGGAGGGGGTGATGTGCGGGGGGGGGGGTGATGTGCGGGGCGGGGGGTGATGTGCCGCGCGGGGGGTGGATGCGGGAGGGGGTGCGGGGCGGGGGGTGCGGGAGGGGGTGCGGGGCGGGTGGGGGGATGCGGGAGGGGGTGCAGGGCGGGGGGTGCGGGAGGGGGTGCAGGGCGGGGGGGGTGCGGGAGGGGGTGCGGGGCGGGAGGATGCGGGAGGGGGTGATGTGCGGGGCAGGGGGGGTGATGTGCGGGGCCGGGGGTGGGGGGGTGGCCCCGGGGCTCCCGCGTCCTCTCCCGAGACCCACGCACATGGGGGAGCCCGCCCGGGCCCTCCGGGACTGCGCGCCCCGCCTGCTCGGGCCGGGGAGTCCCGGGGCGCCAGCCGGGCTCGGCCTCGGGCGCGGGTCTGGCTCCCGCGGGGCGGCGTCCCGGGGGCCGCGCACCCCGCGGGGCTGGGCTGGGCCCGACCCGATTCGGTTCGGTTCCGGCGGCGCGGCCCGCGCTGCTCCCCCCGCAGCGGGTGTCCGGGCTCGGCCGAGGCCCCAGCGCGCAGGGCGGGCGGGCAGCGCGGCGGGAGGCAGGGAGGGGCCTGGCCCTGCGGGGAAGGCGGGGTGGGCGCTGCCCAGGCGCTGTCGCGGCCCCCCCTGGCCCCCCCGGCCCCCCCGGCCCCCCCCGGCCCCCCCGGCCCCCCCCCCCCCCGCCTGCCCGCGGCGTCCCCGGGCGAGAGCCCGCGAGCCCGGCCGGCCCGGGCGCCCCCGCAGCGCGGCCAGCGGGGCCAGCGGGGCCAGCGCGGCCAGCGGGGCCAGCGGGGCCAGCGGCGCCTGCTCTGCCTCCCGGCGCCAGGGCAAGGGCGGCCCGCGCTCCTCCCGCCCCAGGCCCAGGCTTGACGCCGACCGCGCCGCGCTGGCCGGGGACACGCGTGAGGCGCGGGGGGAGATTCCAGCAGAAAAACGGGAATGGACATGACCGTGGACACAGCCCGCCGCGCCGCAGGTCCGATTTGAAAACACGTGGAAAATGAAGACTTTACTGGGGAAACGCCCGGCTGTGCAGTGACCGGCGGGCGGGAGGCCGGGGCTGAGCAGGGCGGGGGGATTTCAGCGGCCGGGGTGCCACGAGGGTTCAACAGGAGCCCACAAAACCCGCGACCCCATCCAGGAAGGCCCCGCACGCACCGCACGCGCCCAGCCGGGCCGGCACGTCCAGGCCAGCGGAGGGCCTAGCTGGGATTCAAGGCCGCAGGACAGCCCCGCGGGGACGGCCCCACGGGCGGCGGGAAGGGGGATCGGCCAGCCTGGGGGGGGTGGGCGGGCGGGCGCGCGCTCAGGTGAGGCGCAGGCGCCTGGAGAGCGCAAGCGGCGCAGCTGGGTCCCATGCCCACTGCCCTCCTGTGGCGGACCCAGAGACAGCGGGCACGCTCGGGCACTGCCTTTTAATGCAGCTGGACCGGGCAGCCTGGACGCGCCCCGCGGCGCTCCCGGCAGGCCCTCGGGCGCCCGGCGGCCCTCGTGGCCGCAGTGGGGTGGCCTTGTCGGCTTCTCAGCGCTTGGTGTTGACGGCCGCGGGCGAGCCGGGGGTGCTGAGCGTGGGGAACTGGTGGTTTCTGTTCAGCGTCGTCGATTCCAACTTCAGTTTCGCGACCTCGTCCTGCAGCGTTCGGGCCTTCGGGGAGAAGAGGCGTGCGTCAGCCCCAGCAGGCCGGCCGGGCAGCACCGGGTCTGGCTACGCGCTGGCCCCAGGAGGGCCGAGCTGCGGCTGGGGCAGGCTCTCCGCTGCAGACACCCAGACTCAGGGCTCGCCGAACCCCACCCCTACCACTCGCTGGGCCGGGAGAGGCGAGGCCCTGGGCCCAGGGGGACATGGACTCCTCCCTCCTGCCAGCGGTGCCCCCTCGCCCTCCCACCCAGGAGGCCGTCCCCTGAGTTGCCGCCTCCTCGCCCCCTGGGTGCAGCTGGACCCCCACCCCCAGCCCCGGCTGGAGCCCCTCGGGCACAGCCTCCCAGTGGGAGGACGGATGCCCTGGGCCAAGCACCCCTCCCGCCCCCCCTGAGGGCACCGCTTTCCTTCCTGCACAGCCTCGGAGGGGCGCCCCCAGGGCGGGAGGCAGGCTCAGGGCTCCTGCTGTGGTGCACCAGGCTGGGCCTGCCCCCGCCGCTCCTGGCCCCGTGTCCCCATCCTGCCTTTTGTTTGACTTCCTGGGGGATTTTCTCAACCTTGTCTACCGATTGGAAAGTTTTTAATTTTTATTTTCAGGAGAATTTGCGTCACTGCGCGGGGAGCGCTCGTGCTCAGCTGCCCCGGAGGGGCAGCCCTGCTCTGGTGTCCACGCTGTGGCACCCAGGCCCCCTCACGGCTGCCCAGTGTTGGCTCCTGCGCACCTGGGACTGGTGGGCTGGGCGGGGTCCCCAGGCCATGGCCTGCGCTGGGGCGCCCCTGGCCGGGCGTGAACCTCTTCACCAGCCCTGCTTGACACGCCAAGCCCCACTGGCTGGCCAGCGCTAGGGGCTCCTGCTCCCGCGGAGTTGTCTGCCCACTGGCAGGTTTCTGCAGCGCTGGGACCAGCCCCTCTCATGCCCGCTGTGCCCGCTGTGCCCGCCCCGGCCTGGAGACACGTTCCCCGCTCGGAGGGCTGCCCTGGCCCTGGCCGGGCGCTGTCCGGGGCGCTGTGTCTGCAGGGGCACAGCCTGCTCGGGTGGCCATGCGGTGAGCGCCGGGCGGTTCCCGAGAGCACTCGGCTGCTGGCCGGGCCCGGGTGGGGGCTGCGGCCTGCGCGTGGACGCCTCGGGAGAGGTTCGGGAGCCAGGAGCGTGGGGCGTCATTTCATGAAGTCGAAACTGGTCTCTGCCTCGAACCCGCAGGAGACCCGCCGTGGGAGAAGGACACGGCCAGCGTCGCTATGGGCCCGGCCAGGCCGCCAAGGGCTCGGGCATCAGGACCCAGCAGGACCCCTCCGTGCAGGACGCCCCAAACCTGATGTCCTGGGGATGGCAACTGGCGGCAGAGTCAGGCGCCCCGGCCGTGAAAAGCCCCAGAAGAGCAGGGCCCCTCCCCACAGCCCCTGCTGCCAGCTCTCGGCAGCGGGTCTTGGTAAATCGGCCTTTCCCGGCCTCCTCTGCCTCGGGGGAGTCTCCACCCCACGCCCCTGGCCTCACCCGGACACTTGCTGACCCCAAGGGGACGGGTGTGTGAACAGCACTGTGGAGGGAAGCGTCACCGGCGGCGGGGAGCCCCAGAGGAGCAGCAGAGCGCCCCGTCCTGACAACACACGCCGCCCCGACAGTCCCATCTGGGACTCCAGCTGCCCCCCCCCCCCCCACCGGGGCCTGGACGGAGCCGACGGGCACTCACGATCTCCAAGTTCTGGGCGGCCCTCCGCACCCGCGCCAGGGGCTCCGCACCCCGGAGGCTCCCCCTGCCCTCGTGCGTCCACTGCGGCTGCGGCTTCAGCCTGTGCTCCAGGCTCCGCCCGCGGGGGCCGCTGCCGACAGAGGGGCCAGGGCCAGGGCTCCCTTTCTCCAGGCCCACGCCCAGCCCCGCAGCTCCCCCACCAGCAGGGCCACGCCCCCGCCACCCCACGAGGCCGGCAGGCCTGCAGCAGGACCACAGGACACCGCACCCCTGGGGTCTGTCCCCGGCAGCACCCTCCACCCCGGGGCTTGCTCTGGCCCGGCCTCCCGGGCCCCCCAGGGCCCCCAGGGGCCCCCGTGCTGTGAACCACATCTGAAGCTCAGTGCTGCCACGGACCTGGCCGCGCCCCTCGTGTGTGAGGGGCCCTCCTTGCTGCGGCCCATCCCCCGGGCGGGGGGCGGGGATGCTGTCTCGCGCTCCAGGTCAGCGGCAAAGAGGTCCCCTGAGGCCACCTGGGGAGGGACAGAGGCTTTCAGCCTGCAGGAGGATGTGTGGGGCGTGAGGCGCCCGGGGGTCCGGCCCCTCCCCTGGTGGGCGCTACCCCACCCCCCGCGTCCCCCCACAGCCTGGGTGCAGAGGGGGCAAGTGCAGGGAGGGTCCCCACCAGGAGCCGCTGCGTGGGCAAGACGCCGTCCAGCCGCTGCACCGCAGCTAAGCCGCGTCGTGCGCCCGCGTGACGTGTGTCACAGGTGCAGCTGCGGGGGACTGGGCGGGGAGGCAGGGGCGTGGGCTGGGGTCGTAGCTTGGCGCCCCCTGGCCAGGGGCAGCCAGACTCTGCAAAGGTCTTGGCTTCTCTCCTTGCTTCCTCCTGGGGCCAGGACGCCTGAGTATGAGCGCCCCGAGCTGGCGCCAGCCCCGCCCCGAATCCTTTCCAGGGTCCCCCACAACTCTAAGTGGACTGGCCTCCACCCGGCGGCTGACTGCACCATGGCTGACCAGCTCACAGCCGCACCCGATGGGCCACGCTTGGCCCAGCCTGCGTCCATGGCCTCGCCACTGCCGGGCGGCGCCTGCCCTGGGGTGCGTCGGGGGACACCGCCCGTCATGGCCACCTCTGCGGCAGCCTGAGCCCAGCGGGGCCCGGTGGGGGCGGAAGGGGGCCGTCGCCTGCCACCTACCACCGCCTCTGGGGCCGGGCGCCGGCCCCAAGGGGGTCTCGGTCTCCCTGCCGGCCCGTGGTGGGCGCCGGCCCCTCTCCTCGGACCCTGGCTGCGGTTCTGAGGCCGCACAGAAGACTCTGTTTCCGGAAGTCAGGCCTCAGGTTCTGGGCTCAGCGCGTCGCGCTCCCCACGGCCTCGGGCTCCGCCTGCCAGGACCCCGGAGCGGGCGTGGGCCCCAGGGGAGGCGTCGGGGCGAGACCAAAGAGCCGAGCCAGGCTCAAGGCTGCACCTGACCACTGCGGGGCCCGAGTCCGCGCTGCTGGCGAGGAAGGGAGCCCCCGCCTGGTCCCGGCCAGCCATCTCCAGCAGGCCGGGGCAGGGCGCGGGGCCTGGACCTCAGGATCCCCTCAGCGCCCCGCCTGCCCTCGCCTGCTCCTCGTCATCACAGCTGCCCGGTGGGGCCCTCGCCCATCTCCTCCCAGGCGGGCCTGTCCTGCGCGGGCGCCACCCTGCCAACCCCCGCGCCCCCGCGCCCTGCCCCACGCCCTGCCGCTGGACTCCACACCCCCGTCCCCCGCCCGCCCGTACCGGGCCCTTGTGCGGCGACTGGACAGTCCACAGTGCCTCCCTCCACTGGGGCCTCCGCGCCTGCTCCCGACACTCCTGCAGCGCCCGCGCGTCCCTGGGAGACGGAGACAGCAAGGTCACCCAGTGGAGCCGCCCCAGCGCCCCTGCAGCCCCGAGCTCTCTGTCCAGGGCAATCCTGGCTGGACACAGCGAGCTGGCCATGGGGCCTCACATCTGTGGCACTGCCCGCCGGGCCCGCTTCCCCCAGGCCTGGGTGACAGGATCCTGGCACGCCCCAGACGCCCCGGCCGGCCCCGGCCGCCCCTCAGGGTCAGGCCCCCGTTTGCTCCTGACAGCCCCTGCTGAGGCCACCAAGCCTCTGGGCGCTGTGTGCCCGCAGGTGCCCGCAGAACCAGACTGTCCTTGGGTACCATTTGGGGCTTCAGAGCCTGCTGGGCCGGGCATCCTCACCTGGACAGGCCTGAGCACCCCCCGGCCAGCGCCTCCCGCCCGGGGCCCAGGGCTCATCCCAGCTGGTCCCGTCTGCGGGGTACCCAGGGCTGCCCTCCTTCGGCGCCGGCCAGCAGAGGCGGGGCTGCAGCCTGCGGGGGTGCTGGAGGCCGGGGCCTCCTGGGGGACGTGGCACGTCTGCTGTGCTGGCCCCATGGCCGTTTCAAGCCGACGGAGGGTCAGCGAGGGCCGGGCACGCTGCAGGGGACGGGAATCGCTGCCCAGGGAGCAGGACGTGGCTCTTGGGACCCCTGGGCGTGGAATCCAGAGCCGCAGGACAGGACACCCTGCTGTCCCTGGAGACCCAGGAGAATGAGCGCGTCCGTGTGCGCGGCTCCCCACCCGTGTGCCGCGGGGGCAGCCAGGCCACTGCTGTCCCTCCAGGCGAGGCACCGCCCACCGTGTCAGGACAGGCAGCGCAGGGGGACAGGGAGGGACACCCCAGCAGCTGCCGCAGGGAGCACGCCCGCCGGCTGCCCGCGGGGCTGAGGGACACGCTGGGGCTGGCGGGCACCCATGGCTGTGACCAGCGTGACCCCAGAGTCTCAGGCAGGCCACCTGTAGGCAGGCCCTGGACAGCCCACTGCCCTGGGGGCGGTGGTGGGCACCCTGGCTGCCCTGCGGGTCTCAGACAGACACTCAGGCTGTGACCTCAGGAGGGTTTATTCGGGGTGGGGGAGGGAACGGCCGGGCGGGGCCCAGGGCCCTGGGGAGGGGGGCGGGAACCGGGGCCTGCGGGGCAGAGGTGGGGGCACGCAGACCCCAGCCTCCTGCTCCCCCTCTTTCCCCCACCTGCTGGGGCCCCCCACTGACCCAACCCCACCAGCAGGGGCAGGCCCCCAGGGAGCTCGGGCGCCATCCACATTGGCCAGCCACCTGGGGCCCGGGGCTCGGAGGCAACAGGCCAGCGGTGGGGCTGCAGGACAGAGGAGGTGAGGGCACCCCCCGGCGCGGCAGAGAAGCACCACCTGCACCTCCTTTCCAAGGCCCCTGCCCGGCAGGACCGGGGACGCGCACTACCCAGGCCCAGGCCAGGGGCAGCTCCAGGCCAGCAGGGCGGCCACTCACCTCTGGTGCGGCCCCAGCAGTGCCCGCTTGTGCCACAGCTCCCCGCAGCCCGGGGCCCGGCCCTGCTGCAGCCGGCGTGCCCGGAGCCCCTCCTGGCTGGACATCTGCAGGTCGGGCAGCGTGTCCCTGAAGCCGCGCCTCCTCCCCCTGCAAGGACAGGCCCTGGTGGCGCCCGCGTCCCTGAGGGCGTCCCCAGTCAGCTGCATGGCCACAAGGTGTCCAACCCGCAGCCGGAGGATGCTTGGACACTGCCGGGAAGACGGCCAGCCAGGGGGGCCACCAGGACACACCCTGTCCACTGACCACGCTCAGACCCGGACACAGGGGGCTCTGCTCAAGCCAGGCCCAGGAGACACACCTGGGCCACACACCACACTCCTCACACCTGCACACACACCACACACCTGCAGCACATACCTCACACACCACATACACACACCCCACACACCCCCCACACCCCACACCCCCCCACACTACATACCACACACCACACGCACACCCCACACCCCCCCACATCACACACCTCACACACACACACTACATACTACACACCACACACACCACACACCTCACATGACACCCCCTACATAGTCCCCCGTGGGCACAACCCCTCCCTCACGTGCCTTTACCTGAGGACGCCCCTGGGGTCTGGGTCCACGCACCCCTTCTCCCTGGAGCTCAGGGCGGCCTTGAGGTTGGGGGGCAGCTCTATGGGCAGCAGCTGGGTGCCCGGTGCCTCCGCCTGCTCCTGCTCCACAATCTCCTGCCTCAGCTTCCAGAAGCGGCGGATCTCCTCCCTGCTAGGCCAGTCGTCCAGGGCCTCGGCCCTCCGGGGCCCCCGCAGGCCTAGCCGGTCCACGGGCGGGAGGAGGTCGCCCCTCTCCTGTGGCATGGCGGGCGCCTGGGGCTCCGGGGACTCCCCGGGCTCTCTGCCGGGCGCCGATTCTGCAGACAGGCCCAGGCGGGGCAGCGGCAGTGGGCCCAGCTCCGTCCCGGCCCCCGGCGTGCTCTCTGTGGGGACACTGCCTTCAGGACCCCCTGCACCCCACCCACGCCCCTTGGCCTCAGGGGGCACCCCACGCACCTCCCTGCCTGCAGCGGGTGGCGGGGCGCTGGGCCTGGGCGGCAGAGGCACCGGCCAGCAGTCGCCTGGCTCTGTGAGCCGCGCTGCAGGGGCCTGGGAAGGGCCCCCTGAGGAAGGCGAATGCTCAGGCCTCCTCAGGGCGGCCAAGGCCATGTGGCCAGCGCCCTCGGGAGCCACCACGCCCACTCCGCCCGCTCCACCCGCCCTGCCCATCAGCCCAGGGGCTCCCCGCTGGAAGCCTCCAGGCTCCCTTGAAGCACCGACCCCCGCCCCTCGGAGAGCTCGCCGGGACGGCGGCGGTCCGTGGCTCCGCGGCAAGGGCAGCGCCCTGAGTTCCCGCCCACGGAGGCTCGCCGGGAGGCCCTCCCTATGGGCCCGCGGCCAGTGTCCATCCCCCTCTCCCGCCATCAGAGCGAAGGCGCCGTTTCTGGGGGTGGCAGCGGACACGGGAGCACGGGCCGGGGCTGCCACGCCCAGGGAGCCCTCGGGGCCATCCAGGCAGCAGCCGTGAATGGGCCAGCGGCGCCAAGCACAGCTGCTGTGGTGGCCAGGACGGGCTGGGCCAGGGGCCTGGGCAGCTGAGCCGGAGGACACAGGGGTCCAGACCCGCGGGGAGAGGAGCGGGGCTGGGCTCGGGTGTGGGGGTGGTCACGCGTCCCGGCCACCCACCTGGGGGGGGCAGCTCCCCGGGGGCGGGGCACTCAGCGGCGCAGATGCGCAGGAAGGTCAGGATGGACACCAGCCCCTTCTGCACGATGAGCTGTGGCGGGAACTCCAGGGGGCACTGCCGCAGGTTCAGGGCCCTCAGCGTGCTCACGTGCCCTGCGGGCGGAGGCGGTCAGGGCCGGGGCGCTGCTGGCCGCCCGCGAGGGGGACCGGGAGCCCTGCTGCGGGAGGCACCTGAGACCCGCCACACGCGGGCACCGGCTGTGTGGCCACCACGAGGGGCAGCTCGGCCTCGGCCGGCGGAGCTGGATGGAGGAGCCCTCCGGGCGGGCGCGGGGCGGGGGCGCTGGTTTGGGGGCGCCCGGCCGCGGTGGCCGAGGGAAGGGCCGGCACCAGGACGGGCAGGAGCTGCTCCGCCCGAGCCAGGGCCTGAGCAAAAGGACCTCGCGGGCCCCAGGGACAGCAAACCCGCAAGGACACGCGGCCGCCCGGTGTGGACTCGGCGGACAGCAGCGCGGGGCAGCGGAGAGAAGGAGGCGCCGACCACAGGCAGGCGGGGGCGCCGACGGACCCGTGGGCACAAGCCCAGGGCGAGGGCTGCCCGGCACCACCCGCGCCCCGGCCACCCACAGGCCCCGGGACCGGCCCTGCGAGGCTCGCTCGGGCAGCCAGCCGGGGACAGCCGCGGGCTCCCGGCAAGGGGGACGCGCACACCGTGCGGCTGCCAAACCGGCACACGTAGGAAGCGGGTCCCCGGGGCCGCGGGGCGGGTCTCAGCCCATCACCGCGGCAGCCTGAGTGTGCCCCGGCCAGGAGCTGACCCACGGGCACAGCGGACCCCGTCTCCCCCCTGCCCCCTCAGCAGTGGACCCGCCCGCTCTGCTCCCCACTCTGTCTCTGGGGAGTCCACTCACCCCCCCAGCTCTTGTAGGTTAAAAAAAACCTACAGCCGCAGCAGCGAGCGAGGCGCAGGCGGTCGGCCCCGGGAGGCCCCTGGAGGCCTGAAGTCGGGGGCCCAGACTCAGGGCAGGATGCAGCCCAGGCCTGCACGGACGCGGGCGAGGAGGGGTTACACCGGGCGGGTGCTCCAGGGCTCGCCTCCTGCTCGTGCGGGACGTGCGGGGGTGGAGGCGCCACAGGCTCGCTGCGGTCCTGGCCAGGCACTTCAGGAGGGGAGGCCCCGGCCCTGGACCCCGGGGCGGGGGGGTGGGCCCCGCGGCTAGCACCCCGTGTCCCCCCAGCACTCACCCAGCTCCACCGGCAACATCCTGATGGGGTTTTTCTCTAGAAGCAAAGTCCTCAGATGCCTGTGCAGCAAACCAGAAGACGGTCACTCAGAAGCAGAAAGTCAACCTGACACACCCTCCGCTCCCTTCCGGCTTCCCGAGGGGCGTCCCCGTGGAGAGGCGCCCCCCAGGCCCAGCACCCTCCCGCCTCTCGACCTCCACCACTCACGCCATCCCGCCAAGCCTCCCTCCCGTGTCCGGGGCCACGGGTGCCCTCGGTGGCGCCAGGCAGGCCTGCCCCTGCCCCTGCCGGCCTCAGACGCCCTCCCAGAGCAGGGACTCTGTGCCGGGTCAACCTCGGCCGCCCCTCGGAGGAGCCCCCGGAGGTCTCCGTCCTCTCCGGGGTCTCGGCCTCCGTCCCTCAAAAGGCCTGTGCAGTGAGCAGCGGACAGACCCCGGGGGAGCCCCGTGGCTTTGGGGGGCCGGTCAACCCATTTGCCAAAGGTGGGACACTCAGACCCAGTGTCGCGGCCTCCCAGGGCCCCAGGGTCTGACGGAGGACGGCTGCCCGGCCTGACGTGGCACGGTGCCGCACCCCGAGGGCCGCCTGTCGCCTCAGAGCCTCCTTCTGGCCCGGCCCCTCTGCCGGCCAGCCCAGACCACGGGCAGCTGCTGCTGTTTTCTCTGTGTCTTGTTTTTGGGGTGGACACTAACAGCCCCCAGTCTGAGCACGCGGGGTTCCACCTCACGGAGCTGCACGCCAGTGGCCCGCACAGCGAGCAGCCCACGGACACCCCAGGGCGGCCCCTCACTGCGCTGATGGGGGCGGCCCCTCCCTCCCCGCGGGGTGCGGCTCTGACGCGTGTCCACCTCTGCTCCCCGCTCGCAGTCGGGCATGGCCGAGGCCGAGGCCGGCGCCCGTTACTTCGGCTTTTTGAAAATTTAAGGCTTTTAATAAGCCCATAATTACTTAAAATTTCTAATTAATGTGTTTCAGCTCTTCAGCCAGCGCGTCTGTTGTAATGATATAATGGGTTTTCAGCCACGTGCAAAATCATATCTTCACAATCAGCAGCTGGTTTTGACTGGCGAGCGCAAGGAGTCCCCCGATTCGAGAACTGCGTTTGCGAGCGCCCTCTGCCAGCGCCTCTGCCAGCGCCCCCTGCCAGCGCCCCCTGCCGACCCCACAGCCGCACACAACCCCGAGTTACTGCAGCGGAGCCCCGCGAGGGCAGGCCCAGCTGGCTCGAGGGCTCGGGCCCGCGCTGCAGTGGAGCTCAGGACACCGTCCGGGGTGCAGCCCCGCGTGTCTGCTGCTGGGGCCAGGTCGCCTTTACGAAGTGGCCGCTCTTGGTGGAGCCTGTAGTGATGCCGGGGGACGTCACGCGGTGGCGGGTGACCCTGACGGAGCGGGGCCCCAGAGGAGCCAGCTCCACCAGGCCGGGCAGGCCGCTGAGGCTGCCGGGGTTCTCTAAGCACGGCCACCCGCCAGGCCTGGGCTGCCGGCCAGTGCTCGAGCTCCGCCCTGGCCGGGCTGCTGCCTCCGGACACCGCACTCCCAGGGACGAGGGCCGCCGTCTGGGGCGAGGCCCAGTCCCCACGCAGACGCCCTGGGAGAAGGCACCAGGGCAGAGTCGAGCAGGCAGGCGCTCTTCACCTGCTCCCCCTCCCCGAGCATCCGCGGGCGGCTCTCCAGAGGCCGTCCCCTCCAGGCAGGGCCCTCCGCCCACAAGGCTGAAAGGCTGACCAAGGACAGGCCCTGGGGGCACAGGGTGAGGAGGGCTGGTGGGGGGCCTCTATGAGGGCAGCGAGGGGGGACTGGGCCTGAGGAGATCAGTGCCCCCCCCATAGGCCTCGCCCGTTACCCAATGGGCTGCCCTGGGGCCTGCCCTCTGCTCTGGTGCTGCACAGCAGCAGCATCCGGACGTCCCTGCCAGCTTCGTCCACGGAAGCCCCGACACACTCACTTGTGAGCCCCGATCCCAGAGGGGAGCACCCGGATCCGGTTGAACCGCAGGTCCAGCCACGTGAGGTTGGGCAGCAACTGGAAGAAGTCCTTGGGGATGGCGCCCAGGGCGTTTCTCTGAAGGTGCAATTGCTTCCAGGGAGACAGGAGTGTCAGCAACGCTGCCTGCCCGCTGCCCACCCGCTGGCCGCAACCCCAGAGCAGTGCAGGGCAGCCCGTGCTGAGGAGCCTGCGCCAGTGGGAGACTCAGAGCGGAGGGGGAGGTGCCGGCCCCCAGGGGTCAGGCCGGCCCTGGCACCCGTCGAGTCCACCAGGGCCAGCCTCGCAGCCAGCGCTCAGCCCTGGAGGGCAGCGGCTGCGCGGAAGAGGGCAGGGTCCATGGCTGGCACGGCAGGGGGCCGGCCCCTCGGCTGCTCCGGCCTCTCATTCTAGACAGAACCCCTTCCTCTGGGAGGCCGGGGCAAGCGTCCACTGGCCCCTGTGGGGCAGCAGCCCTGGGACATCCGCTTACCGTGAGGTTGGGGATCTTAAAGATCTCTCCCAAGTGGTGAAGGCCTCGCTGACTCAAGTCGAGGACGGGCGCGGAGAAGAAGACGGCCCCCTTGCTGGGGGAGGCCGCCGGGCTCCCCGCTCGGCCACGGCCCTCGGGGTCAGCAGCCTCGGGGCTCAGGGTGCAGGCGCCGCGCCGCTCCATCCGGGTACACGCGGGAAGCGATCCTCGGTCCTCGGGGGCCACCGCACCATCCTCCGGGGCCTGGAGGCACCTGGAGACAGGGACACGGGCCGCAGGCTGGGCACCGGAGGGCCCGCCTCTGCCCCGCGGCCTCGTAAATTTGACTCTCGGTTTCAAGAAGAAAGTACCGGAAGGCTCAGATTTCAACGCTGTGCACCTAACTGTGGCCACCGAGCCCCGGGGTTTGAGTCTGAACCTGGAAATCCCAAGGGTGCAGAACGGTAGGAAACAGGCTGGGATGTGTGGGCTGTGCCCACGTGTGCCCCGCGTGTGCCCCCGTGTGCGAAGCTCCCCGTGACCTGGCTGGCTGGGGGGCATCCTGTGGCTCCGTGGGCCGCCCTGGCCCGTGGCCGGCGCGGCTGGTGGGCGCCAAGGCAGGCTCTGGTTTCCATGGGCCAGGCTTTAGCTCTGCACGGAGCCCTGGTGCCTCTGTGTGCTCCCAGCCTGGCGCCCGCTGCACCCCTGGTGCCCCCCCCCGCCCCCGGCCAGCCGGTGTGATCCGTGGGTTCTTCTGCGTCCGGGGTCAGCATGGAAAGGTGTCGTGGGAATCGACACAGCAGGGGTCTCGGTGTTCTCAGACGCCCCTCTCGGCCGCGCCGCCGGGCTGGGTGCAGGCAGCGGGCTCTGGCTGCCGCGGGGGGTCCGGGGAGGCCTGCCCCGGGGAGCAAACTAGCAATGCACCCGCGCGGGCTGCCCGAGCGCACCCCGGCGGGAGCGCCTGGGGTGGGGGCTTCAACCCTCACCACCCCAAACCTCTGCACCCGAACCGAAAACCCACAGGGCAATAGCAGGGTCTGAAAATGGGGGGGTGTGGGTGCGCGCGGGCAGGCTGAGCCCAGGGCTTTGCGTCTCAGCTTCCAGGCCCCGGCGGGGCACAACCTCCGCCGGCGGCCCGCGGGCCTGGACGCCGGGGACTCCGGGGTGGGCCCCGCAGGGCGGCGGGACGGGGGGGGGGGGGGGGGGGCGGCCCCTTCCTCGCGCCGCGCCCTCGGCGGGCCGGCCCCGCCCTCCCTCCCGCGCCTCACCTGCCAGCCGCGCCCCCGGAGCCGGAGCCGGAGCCGGAGCCGGAGCCGGCCGGGCGCATCCCCGGCGCGAGGCGGCGCTGCTGGACAATGGAGGCCGCCGGCCCCCGCGGTCGCCATGGAGACGCGGCCACGCGGCGGGCGCCCAGCCCCAGCGCGCCTGCGCGGCACCTGCCGCTCCCTCCCCGCGGGCGCGCGCTCCGGCCCCAGCGCCCCCCGACACGCGGGGCTGTGCGGCTCCGGCTCCGGGCGCCGGGCGCCGGGGGCGGGGGTCCCCCAGGGCCCCCTATGCCCAGGGCCGCACTCGCGCCGACTCCGGGTCAGTGGCGTGGCCCCGGCCCTCGGCAGCTCCGGTGGCCTCTCGGGGTCCCCCACCTGCCGTCAGGGGCGTCCTCCCGGCCCCACTGTGGGGCGGGCCGCACGGAGCCGGCGCCATGTCCGCGGAACGGCTGTCCCGGACCTCACGCTGGCCCGAGCCGGCAGGGCTCACTCCGGGGCTGCTGGCCCGCTGGCCTCTGCCCGTGCCGCGCGTGGACAGGCGCCGGCCGGCCTGGCGGGGTCGGGGCTGGGCGCAGAGGGGACCCGCAGACCCACGCAAACCCCACCCCTGAGCCCAGGCCACCCCCGCTCCGAGGCTGGTGCCCTTCAGCCCAGAGCCACGGGAGGCAGGACCCCAGGGTGGGGAGGGCGCCCCGTGGAGAGGACCACAGGGCCCCACTGCCTCCCCCAGGTCCCTGCCCCTTAGGCCCCTCACCTCCGAGCCCTCGGCCTCCCCAACACTCAGTCACTTTCTGAATCTGTTAACATATTTCCCCCCCAAAGGCCCCTCTCCGCCTCCCTGGGGGGCGCACACTTCTCATCACTCCTCTCCCCTTCCAGGGGTCTCGGGGAGTGGCCATGAAGGAGTCCCAGCAGCCGCCAGGTTCCGAGGGCAGCCTGGGCAGCCTGGCTCTGGGCCGCCTGGCTCTGGGGGGCCTGCCTCAGCGCCCCTTTCCTGCAGGGCTCCCCAGTTCTCTGCCTGGAGATCCTCTGTGCAGGGCACCAGGGCCTGCGGCCGCACAGTGCCAGCCACCGCGACCCCAGGGCCGGGCAGTGAGCCGCCCTGTCCGCCGCCTCACCTGTGCTGGGAACTAGCCTCCCCCAGGCGGGGAGTTTCACTGCTGGGGTGCCCGAAGCCCACCAGGCCGGGAGGCCCGCAGCCCATGCACTGCCCACCCAGCCAGGCGGTCTACAGCCTCAGAGCTCTGCGCAGCTCCTTGTCCAGGGGGACAGCAGGTGGCCCCCAAGTGATGGGGTCCCCTTTTAGTCAGGGGGCATGCATGGCAGGTGGGCCCTGGTTTTACAGGAGTGGCACGGAAGCAGCCAGTGGGGGCTGGGCGGGGTGCAGCCCTTGCGGAGACAGAGACCCGCCCTGGGAGGCAGGGACAGTGGCAGGAGGACCTAGAATTTGCCTGCAGGCCTGACCTGCAAGAGGTCAGCTCCTCCCTGGCAGCAGATGGCCTTTCCGGGACTCCCCAGGAGAAGGGTTTGGCTTTGTGGCCTGGCCATTGGGTGAGTGAGGAGGCAAATGCTGCCAAAGGAAATGGCTGAGCATCCCCGGAAAAGGGGGCCCTCAGGGGCCAAGTGTTACCTGGCGCAGAGACCCGGGCCACCCCACCGGCCTCCTCTGGGCTTCCCACAGCAGGGATGACCCTCGGGGTCTCACCTGGCTGTGCCCGCAATGTGGAGTGCAGGCCGCGCCCTCAGGCGGTGCCCGGCACCTCCAGTCGCGCCACGAAGGCTGTGCGGAGCCCCCAGGGTTTGGGCAGGACGGGGGCCTGGATAACGCACCGCACAGGGCAAGGCCTGCGCGGGGGAGGCAGCCCTGGCCCGGGCTGGGAGCCGGCGAGGTGGCCGGCAAGGCGGCAGGGGTGCGGCGCGGGTGGCCAGAGCGCCTGTCCAGCCCCCTGCGCGCGGCCCGGTGCGGCGCCCGGCGGGAGGGTCGGGTCCCCCAGGCGGCGGCAGGGCCAGGCCCGGCTCGCTAAGCGCTGGGGCGGCCGGGGGACCGCTGTCCCCCGCCTCTGTGCCGGGCGAGGCCCCCCTCGCATCGGGCCGCCTCCCGGGCGGCGCGGCGGGCGCGATGGCCGCACCTGGACCCGCCAAGCGCCCAAGCCTGGCCCCGCCGGGCCCTGCCTGGCGCGCTCCCCCCGGCCCCCCCCCCCCCGCCCGGCGGCTCCGCCCCGGCCCGCCCCTGCCCGGCGGCTCCGCCCCGGCCCGCCCCGCGCGCGGTCGGCCGCGGTCCCCGGCGCCCGCGAGCCAGGCCGGCGCCCGCGCGCTGCCAGCAGCTCCTGCCGGGCTCGCCGCGGCGGGCCATGCCCCGGGCTCCGGCGGCGGCGCGCACCCCGGCCCGGCCATGAGGAGCGGCGCGGAGCGCAGGGGCAGCAGCGCGGCCGCGCCCCCCGGCTCGCCGCCCCCCGGCCGCGCGCGCCCCGCCGGCCCCGACGCGCCCCCGGCCCCCGCGCCGCCCGCCGCCGGCCTGGCCCGGGCCCGGGACGCCGGCGAGGCCCGCGCGCAGCCGCGCCCCCTGTTCGCCTGGAGCAAGTGGAAGAAGCGCATGAGCTCGGGCATGTCCATGTCGGCGGCCGCGGCCCGCAGGCCGGTGTTTGACGACCGCGAGGACGGTGAGCGGCGCGCGCTGCGGGGGCGCGGCCGGGCGGGGGCTCCCCGCCGTCTCCAAGGAAACCCGGGCGACGCCCGCGGGCCCACGCGCGGGGCGCTGGTCCGCGCGCTCCCTCCGGGGTGCCGCGGGCGGGGCGGGCGGGGGGGGGGCGGTGAGGGCGCGCCCCGCCGGCCCGACCCGACCCCGGCTGGGCGCAGGGCGTGGGGTGCGCCTCCCTCTCGGAGGCCGCGGGCGGGGCTGCTTCGCTCGGTGATGTCCGTCTGGGTTTGGGAAGGCAGGCCGGTGCCCCACAGGTGCCCCACCCTGGCCCCTCGGGGCAGGCCGCTGGCCAGCAGGGCGGGGGGGGGGGGGCACGTGAAGGACTTGTGCTGGGGTTCCGGGGGGCGAAGACCTGCCTGGGAGCTGTCCGGGCTCAGCCCTCCTGCAGGTGAGGCTGCGCCCAGGGGACAGGTGTCCCTTGAGTGGCCCAGTCCGGTGGGCGCAGGGGACAGGCCGCGGGTGCAGGGCCTGCTGGCCCCCCTGGCCTTGGACTCCCCCAGGACGGGCCGTGGGGGGGCCTTGGCGCCGGGCCCTGGATCCGGCCACCAGCAACACAGCCGCCCACAGATGTCAGGCAGATCATCCAAATGGCACAGCGATGACACATTGGATGTTTTTTGACATTTCTTAAAATAGTTGGTGGAAGATGCAGTTTTCGCTGTCGGCGCCCGCAGAGGCAGGACGGGTCTCCAAAGTCTGGAGCTCACAGCAAAGCCCGAGCTATTTATTTCTGATAAATAATTTAAGCATTATAGGAAATGACACTAGTACGGCCTCGGGCCAGCGTCGGCGCGGCGGCCAAGAGCCAGCCGCCGTCCAGGGCGCTGGGCAGCAGGCGTGGGCAGCAGGCGCTGGCCGCGCGGCCGGACAGGCAGGATGTGTGCAGGCGGCTCGCACTCAGGGGCTGTGGTGGGCACAGACACATGTTTTTGTTTTGACATAAGTAACCAAAGGAAAGCAGTGGGGGGCCGGGAAGCCCCTGCGCCCAGCTTTGGCTGCAGACAGAGGACGTGTCTGAGAGAGGCCGTCGTGTCCAGCCCTGGTGGCAGCCAAGCACTGGTTGGGCCTGAGCCTGCTGTCCAGGGCGGGCCGGCAGGACAGGGAGAAGGAGTCGGGTGGTGCCCCTGACGCTGAAGGGACAGCTCTTGGGGTGCCCCTCCGAGCTCAGCAGTGACTCAAAATCTTGAGGCGCACAGGCTGACCCGCCCTGCCCCTGCCCTGGCCTGGCCTGAGGGCCTGCGGGGCAGGGCCTGCTGTTCCGGGGTGACTTGGGCTCTGCAGGACATGTGTGCCCAGCACCCGTGTGTCCCCAGCCGCGGAGCCCCGTCCCCTGGTGGAGCCCGTGGCTGGCCGTGGCCGGCCCATCCTCGTGCCCTGCTGTGGGCTGTCTGGGGTCCGCTTCGCCCTCCCCGTCCACATTGCTACCTCGCAGGCTGCGCGTGGCAGGGGGGCTCTCTGGGCCGGGAGCCCACCGCCCACTTAGCAGAGCGGGGCTTGGGGGTCCCGGCCCCATGCTCCGAGGCGTGGGCCTGAGCCCCTCACCCAGCGGCCTTGGAAGCCCTGACTGTGCTGGGACTGGCGCTGGCTGGGACTGCACGGTTGCTATGGCGATGGGAGACCTTCTGATGAATCTTTTAGCTGAAAACACCCAATTAATGTCTCGGATTTGGTGTGTAGAGGGAAGGAGAAAAGGAAAGAAGAGGCCAATCGGACAGAGTCCCAGGTAAACGGCAGCCGAAGGGCACGGCGTGGTGCCCAGCCCCGGGGTGCCCTCTGCCCATGGTGGAGCCTGGCCGAGCCCACCTGGCCTGTGCTTGCACTGTGCTGCCCGCTCTGTCCTCCCCCAGAAGCCCCGGGCTCCCCCCGCCCCTCCACCGGCCCCCCACCCCCCAGCCTCTCCCTGACCTCGGGGGCCATGGGCTTTAGGATTCCACTTGCCCTGGAGGCCGCATAACTGCTGGGCCGGGGCTGGGGTCAGCCACCCTTCGCCCCCACCCCTGGCAGCCCCACGTGCTGCTGCCGCACCTGCTGCTTGGCCACCTGGGGCCTCTGGCCCCGAGTGCCCCGGCCCGCTGGGCGCTGGACCGCACAGCCCAGGGAGGCTGGGGGAGGCGCCCACAGGCCATGCCCGGAGCCACGGGGGAGGGGGGCGGGACGGGCCCGCTCTGGAGTCGCCCTTTCGTAATTGAAAAGGGGGTTGGATTTTTTTGATTACAGAAGCAGATGTATCAATTTTTGAGAGGTTCAGTTTCCTAAAATTGTCCTAAAGAGCAAACCCAACACCCGTGGCCTGCCCGGAGGGAGGCTCTGCAGGCACGTCCCCGAGTCTCACAGTCTCTTCTAGGAATGTAGTCACACTCCAGCCGCGCGGGGCACACTTGTTTCTCCTTGAGGCAGAAATAGGATCCCGCTCCACATGCGGCTCTGCCGGCTGCTGCTTCCGTGGCGCGTCCTGGCCTCGGGGCCGGAGCGCCCTCTGGGCTGAACCCCGGCCGCTGCGCTGGGCTGGCCGGACCCTGGCCGCGCCCCTGCTCTGCATCCTGGCTCGGGTGGACAGACGTCTCTGCCCGCTCCCCGCGCGCACAGCTCGGGATGGCGTCTGCCCGCGCGCCTTCGTACTGGGGTGACATCCCGGGAGCCGGCCCCCCGCGCCCTCGAGGAGGACGACCAGCTGGGCTGGGGCCCCAGACCGCGCTCTCGGGCGGGCGGCCAGGGGAGGCTGCTCCTGGAGCTCTGGGGGCTACCGGCCGGGCGGGGTGTGGGGTGGCGATGCCTCGGGGCGCCTGGTCACCCCAGGCCTGGCGTTGCTGCGGAGATCGCCCTCTGGGCTCTCGTGTTCAGGACCCAGCTCTGCCCGAGGGGCTCCTGGCCCGTGTGGGGGATACCAGTTCTGAAGCTTTCCCCCGACCGGCCGTGATCGCCTGGCGGAGCCGGTTTGCTGCGTGGGGTCTGCGGTCCTGGTGCCAGGCCTGCCCCAGCCCTGGGCTCACCCCGTGTGCCCGCCAGCCCGCCCCCGCTCATTCCCTGCAGTGCGGCCTCCTGGAGCTGGGAGTGGGTCCTGGGCCCCCGGAGTCGCGCTGGCGCTTGCAGGAGGCTAAACCTTTCACCCTGTCAGGTCTCCTGGACTCGGAGCTGCTGTTCTGGGACCCCCCAGAGCCGCAGGGCGGGGTGCATGATGGCGCTGGGGTGCAGGGCTGACCCCGGGGGCCAGCGGCCTGACCAGTGGGGGCCTGGGCAGGCTGCTCAGGGCAGGGCATGGCCAAAGGGCCAGACCCGGCTCTTAGACAGGGGGTCACAGTGTGGCTACGCAGGGGAGGGTGAGCAGGGGCCAACTGGGGAGGTGCTCGGTCACCGAGCTGACGCCCCAGGCCATGTGGAAACAGCCCAGGCCCCATGGCGCCCGTCGGTGGACAAGGCCCCGCTGTGCCGTGCTTTGGCGCATGGTCACGCACCGCCGGCGCCCCTGCTCCTGCCACACCCCTGCTGTGGCCCCCGGCCCAAGGTGGCCCAGGGCCCCGCTCCTGTGAGTCGAAAGGAGCCTTGCGGGGTCTGGCGAGCAGCTGCAGTTGAATGTGCGGCTGCTCGGGACCAAGATGGCGGCGCGTGGTCCTTGAGTCTAGCAGGCCCGCGGCCTGGCTCCTGCCCCGTGGTGTGGGCTTGGGCTTTGGGGCGCGGGAGGGCTGGGGGAGGCCTTCCGTGCGGCCAGGCTTGGGCGGATGGCCAGGGGAGCGGTCTCGGTGACCGGAACCTGGCGGCCACAGGCGCGGGGCCCCTCCAGCCAGCGGAGGCTGGCGTGGCTGGGGCCGGGTGGGCCTGGGTCTGCGGCCCTCGTTCCTGGACCCCGGGGCGGGCCTTGGGGCGGCCTTTCTCTCCATGGCCGGCGAGGCTGGACTCGGGACCTGCTGTCACACTTTTCTGTGTGACAAATGTCAGCTCTGTGTGTCTATCCATCTGGTTGTGCCTTAAAAATGCTAAAAATAAGCCGGTTTTCTTTGAAAAATGCCACCACCCCGCCTTGCCGCCAAGCAGAACCGAGAGGATGGTTGCTGGGTGGGGTGGGGGCCCTGGGATCTTGTGGACACACGGGGCCGGGTCTGGTGTGGGCCCACACCATGTCCACAAGTCCAGGCGTGTCCCCTGGCCAGAGCCCAGTTGTCCTTGCTTCTCCGGCCGGCCGGCCCAAGCTGTGCAGGGGGATCTGCTGGCTGGGCCTGAGGGGCACGTCACCTCCCAGAGGCCATCCTGGGCCCCGGCCCCCTCAGGACTGCGGGCAGCGGGACGGGCCGGCACCACCAAATGCTGCTGTTAAAAGCCTCCGGACTGCTGTGCCCGGTCCTCCCCGCTGGCCTGGGCTGTCACTCCCCTGGGCGCTGGTAGGTGGGGCCCAGGGGCAGGGGAGGCCTGGAGCTGCCCACCCACCCGCCTCAGCCGACCTGCACCCTGACCCCACTGTGCCAGCCGCCCGGCTGCCACTCACGCCTCGTAATTTCAGTTCTGGAGCGAAGGAGGCGGAGGTGGGGTCAGAGTCACCCCCAATGTATTAAAAATAGGACCCGAGCGCATTCCTGTTCTTGCAGGGACTCACACGGGCTCTAGAAGGTCTCTCGGCTTCCTCACAACCCCCGCTCCTCTCTCTGCCGCAGGGGCCTCTGCCGGTGGGCTGGCTGCTGCCCACCCTGGCGCCCTCCCTGGGCCCTGGCCAGCCGGCCTTGGCGCATCCCGCAGGGGGACCGCTTGCGGGCCCTCGGGGTGTCCGTGTGGCCGCCATTCCTTTCCTCTCTTTGCTCCTGGTGCCAGGTCTCTGGTGCCGCGGAAACCTCAGCTTCCCCGGTGGAAGGCGCGTTGGTGGACGTGCCTGTGCCTGAGAGAGCAGAGGGGGACGCGGAAGGCAGAGGAGAGACGCGGGCAGGGCCTGGGCACCGTCCCGGGTGTGTGCCGACACCAGGGCGGCTGTGGGCAGCG